TCTTGAAATTTACCCTCCACTCTAGGTTCTTGGTGAACACTTCGGGCTCTGGTAAAACTAGGCTGCTATTAGAAGGCCTTTGCGAGAACTGGGGTTTCTACTTTACTTCTCTCGTGGACTCCAGCCTCCTTGGCTCGAGTGATGTTCAGAATAGCATTCAAACACATGTCCCAGACTCCCACAAGTTTCGCCATATTCTCCCCCCAGCAGGTTCAGCTGGGTATGAGGCTGCGCTGAAGGCAAACCGTGAGATAGCTAGTCGAATTTTCCGGCAGATATTCCTCGCCCGCCTGATGATCTTCAACCTATTTGCCGAAACTATGAGCACTTGCATCAAAATAAACGGTGGTGTACATGAAGACCCGCATGTCTATAAATCACGCTGGCTGCTGCTTCAACTCCAACCATCTTTCGTTCACCCTCAAGTCTGGGATATATTCGATGAACTCTCGTGCAAGCTCGCTGGCGCTTCAGATTCATTCATCAATACAACAACCAAGACGCTATTGAGTAATGTGCGCACATTATGCTCTCGAGTACAACCTGGAGGCCCTGCGACGCTAACCCAAATATCAACATCGGAAACTGCGCAAACGCCCATTTTCTGCGTGCTCGATGAGGCGCAATTCGCGGCTACGCAACACAATTCCTCATTTCGTTCCGATCAGAATGGTTGTCACCGTCCAATCCTCCGAGAAATCGTCAAAGCTTGGGAAGGTCAATCGTTCGGCCAGGGTGTCTTCATGGTGGTAGCAGGAACAGGGATATCGAAAGACGTTGTCGATCAAGCAATGGCTTCTGCTATCATGAAGGACTCTAGATACCGATGGTGTTCGGATACGGGGGCTTTCGATCACAAAGATGTCCAAGAGCGTTATTTGCAAAAGTACCTGCCGGGTTCCCTTGTGCTCTCAGACCTCGGGATACGATTGATGGAACGAGCTTGGTATTGGTTACATGGAAGGTACGCGCTTCCCCTCAAACACGTCTTCCTTCACTCATGAAATATCCGACAGATATCGATTCACCGCTGGATTTGTATCGGAGCTTCTTGTAAACGGCTTCAAGAGGCCCCATGGTCTGCTCAACGCCTATGTTCAACACTTCACTGACTTCAAACTCACTGATGCACCATTGCTCGTCAAAGCGGAAGGGTCCGACCCACTACCTGTATTTTCGCAATACAAACTAGATTTCTCCAAACTCAAGAAAAGTCCGTGCGCTCGACTTCCTTCTGCATCTCATGCTGACTTATTGACCTAGACAGTGATATGCTCTCTACCATCCACCAACTCACCACGCATTACCTTATGCGATCTGTTCTGCCAGTCACACTCGGCAAGGACGAAGCAACCTACGTCGAATACGGCTTTGCTCGCTTCGTCGATTCCGAAACAAAAACCGTGGCGGTCGATGAACCACTCGTGCTCCTCGCAGCCACCCGCTGGATCAACGCCAACCACCGAACCAGCTACAAGTTCTTCGCCAAGCAGATCTACCTCCACGATCCATGCTCGAACGGATTCGAAAACTACGTCGCCTTCTGCATCGACATGATCTTTTCCCATAAGCGACGCCTGAACGAAGTGTTCTTGTTCAGCGGCTCTACGCCAAGCTGGGCTAATCTCGAAGCGGAACTGGTCTCCCTTCAACGAACGAGCCTCAACCTCGTCGAAGAAAGTTCTGTTCGCCATTTCCAGTTCTCTGGTCCCTCCGTCAATCTAGGGACGAACGCTAAATCTCCTGAGGATACTTTGAAATGGCTTGACCACCGCTCTCACACCCCGATCTGTTTCCCTCACATATCTATGGGTCCTGATCTCCTCTTCGTCCTCAGGCTCTCGGATGGCTCATTTATATGGGTTGCCTTGCAAGCCAAGTATTCACTGGGGAAGAACGGTCAACTCTCGAGACCATTCCTTCGCCGAGCAATGCGGAGTGTCACACCATCAACCTTCTTCTTTGATAAAGTCAGTCGCCTCTTGATGCTCTAATGATTTTCTGAGACTGATACACAAGATCTATCCGCGAAGGAGGGCAAGCGATTTTCCCCCTCGAGCCATCCAGGTCTGGTAGACGCAACCAACCAACGTCTCGCGGATCTTCCTCACAGGCGCCCCGACGCCGGAAAATACAGTCTTCTCCGCGTCGTCGCCTCCTTTCCTGCTCAGACCAATCTGAAGCGATGCATGGAAGAAGATCCAGACGAGGATCACCACCCCATTGCGAGCTTAAACATGTCTCTGATAAAACAAGTCACGAAACGGTTGTCTCCTATTGACTTTTTGCAAGGCCTGGAGGACCCTTTGCAGAATAACGGCAAACGGAAACGAGGAAACGAAAATATCAAGCATAGATCTAAGAAGATCAAGTTGAACTAGTTATCTCTGGACGTATCTTATACATACTTATCCCAAAATCTGAACCATTGTATCTAAGTAGAATCTTTGGAAGTAGCCAGCACCTGATCTCTGCGAGTTGCACATCGACGCTGGCCCGCTTAGAGGTAAGTAGTGTAAATGAGAGTGAAAGTTTGCATTGGGTTTTCTTTTACAAATCGCCGAAGCGTGAAAGATAAATCAAGAAAAGAAACGACGATAAAAAAAATGACAGATTGGAGATAGGCATAGGTAGGAATCAGACGTTCAACGCACATAGGTTTGAAAAGGAAGGTTCAAGTCTACAGCCAAGCAAGAAAGAACACAATAGAACTCATATACCAGGCTGCATCCCCCGTCCAAGCCTGAAAATGTCATACCTCGAAGGAGAAAAGGAAAGGGATTGGGGAAAAGTGAATAGAGGTAGGTAGGTTTCATGGACAAACGACTCCGATATGATAATCGATTGGGTCCTAGGTTCCTGAAGCAAGCAAGGGTTATACCTGCCTATCCGTCCGAGTCTCGAGCCGTGAAAGCAGAAGAGAAGCATAGCTTGTCCGAGTCCGATCCATCCTTCTTTCTTTCTTTCTTTCTTTCTTTCCTTCCTTCCTTCCTTCCTTCCTTCCGCTATCGGTCGCGATTCGAGCAGATTATGAGAAGGGCTCCAACCAATGAGGGGTGGGGCTCCGAAGCAAAACCGGCTGGAACGAGACGTTCGTCCCCCTCTAGGTTAGTCTGTTGCAAGTATTGGTGTCTTCAATCCCCAAAAAATCAACAAACAACCTCCCGAAACCGAACGAAACCCGGCTCACCTTGATTGACGAATTGATGGGGCCAAATTGCAGCTATCACGGATCCGCGTCCAGTTTCTCGCCACGGGCCAAAACGCGCACGACCTTGCTCGGCTGGGAGATCATCTCCATCATCGCCATCACCGCAGGCGGGCGCTCGACCAACCCCGACTTGGCACCGTGGTCGCTCCCGGACGGCCTGCGGCCCCTGGCGTTATGATGCGCCCTCTTCGGACGGTCCTCTTCTTCCCGGCCGGGGAGGGCGGGGTCGATCTCGAGAAGCTTGATGTTGGCTTGAGTGGCCCAGGAGGTGACGAGGGTGCCTACGGAGCGTGCTTCGTATTTGTTGGCGTGGGGGAGGGTGGGTGCGGGCAAGGGGACAGGCGCTAACGGAGCTTCAGCGGCGATAGACATGTCGGCCAGTTTCGCGAGGACGGTCTGGGGCGATAGGTTGGGTGCGGAAGAGAGCACTGCGAGGACGACTTTGGGCGGCTTCTGGTTCTCCGGATTGGCGAGTGGCTTTTTGTCGGCGGTAGCGCCGTCGACGCTGCGTCGGGCGTTGGTTTGCAGTTCTTCTTCCGGGTGTTCGGTTGCCCAACGTGCACAGCATACGATACGGCGGACCCATTCAGGGCAGGAGTTAAGGTTCTTGGTTTCCCCATCACCGTTGTTATCGAATGGGATTTTGTCCCAGAGGACAAAGGCGTCATCTCGCTGGACCCGGATACGTGGATTAGTCCCAACTTGCGCTTCGAGAATACGAGAAGCTGCACGAGCTCGTTGAGCCAGGGAAGAGGTCCCTTTCTTCAACAAATCCAAGGTGTTGAGTGCTGCGATTTGCTGCGCATTAGCAAAGGCATCGTGGGTTCCATCCTTGTGAGAACTTACCTTCAAGCGGAACTATAACAACCTCCTCTCTCCCATCCCTGCACCACCTCTTGACTTGGTACAAGGCATGGATGAGCACACTCGCATCAACCACTACCACATCCGCGTCTTTGTCCGTCTTCTCCTCCTCCGCGGATCTACGTCTTGCGCTCTGGCTAGAAGTGACACCCCTATCAAAATCCTTGTCCTTCACCACCTGTCTCTCCCTCCCCGCCACTGCCTGCACCTCGCCGCCCGCCTTCTTCCTCTGCGCCGCTACCTTGATACCAGGCGAATTCGGGCCCCGTTTAGCACCTCCGGGCGAAAGAGGCGGGAAGCTGTTCCCTGGGTATTTCCTGTCCCGCCAGTTTCCAGAAGCTGGCCCGTTGGAAGAGACGGATTTTTCGAGCTGTTCGACTTGGTGGTTTAGGAAAGCTGCACCGAGTGCACGAGACATGGCCACTTTATTGGCAGTGCCGTTGGGTGTCTGGATATCGCTCAGTTTACATAGTCCTTCATATGAGAAAGTATTGCTTACCTTTCTATCTGACATTTGGTAGGATGATGTGCTATGGAGAGAAGTTTAGCTGCGACCAACGATCGTGGTCAGTGGGAGTGGGGCTGTCCACCCTGCTTATGTCATCCATTTCATCGGTCAGCCAGAGTCAGTCAGCGTTCAACTTTTCAACGCGTAAACATTTGACTCGTTTATCAAGTCCTATGACTCGCTAATGAAAATCTATCTGCAATAAGTACAATCAAGTCAGCATGCATAAAGATTAACCATGAACCGGGTCTTCAGTTGAACACTGGACGGATGAGAACAAGGTGTTCATCGGGACTTGTTCGGAACTTTGAACTCCAGGTTGCAAAAAATAGACAGCAAATGGAGCGCAGGATCAGCAGATTATGATCACGACGCAGAAGTAACAAAAAAAATCCTCTCCTCCTCTTCCAAAAGGGATGCCACGTACCCGGATTGAACGAGTGACCTTCTCATGTCTACAGAGGCGACGTCTGGTTGATACAAGTGAGACGCGCTACCACTACGCCAACGCGGCTTGGAACTTCGCAACGATTGTGCCATCACGTGAGGATAGGTTGAACCAGCGTTTCCTTTACTTTCTCTCAGCCTTGGGAAAGTATCACAATAGAGGTTCAGCATATTATCTTAAGATTTCGTCGGGAGTCAATCGAGAGTTAAGTATTAATTCTGAAGGCAGCAAGAAGGCAGGGCTCGAAGCGGGGCCGGAATTATTTGCCGAACCGGCATCGTTCGGGCCAGGATGATTCGTGGTGCATATCAGACAAAACAGAACTTGTCGTTGACTCGATGTAATTTCAGTAATTGAACTATCCAGTAGTCTCTACGACACGGTGTACGACTAAACTTCTTGTTCAACTCTCTCAAGGACGCCCTTAGTCTGCTCGGTCTCGCAGGTAGACCAGCTAGGCATGTTCGCCACGCAACTCGGGATGTCCGCTCGTTCATCCTTCAGATTTGCTTCAAAGTTAGGAGAACGGAGAACGCCTGTTCACGGCGGCTCGCTGTACAGAAACTTCGTTTCTACTTCTCGAAGGCCGCAGGAATATATACGCTTTCGTGTGCCGCAGGGACAGAAACCAAAGAATGAGTGGGATCCGAGGAATTGGAATCCGAGAGTGCAGTTTGCAGGCGCTGTCGTTGGTCTAGGCGGTATCTACTACGCGGCACAGTGAGTAACCATATATACTACACTTCATATCCTCTCTTACTACTCAATAAGCCTGGAACAGGTTCCCGACACGGGCCGATGGCGATTCATGAACACCAGTCCCAAATTCGAAGTAGAGGTACGACACCCACATCTCCACCTCCACCTCCTCAAATGATCTAACCTCCCAACCAGTTCGGCGAACTCTCCCGCAACCAACTCCGCACCGAGCTCGAACCCGCCACCCTCCCCGCTTCCCACCCCATCTCCCGACACGTCTACCGCGTCGTCACCCGCATCCTGCAAGCGTCCAACCTCGGCGTCATCCGCGGCAGCACGCAAAGCGCCCAACCGAGCATCCTGTCGCGCTTTGGGTTGGGCACGGACACGTTTGGGAACGCGTGGAATCCGGATAGCGATGTGGGCGCTGCTGCTGATCCGGGGCCGACGTATGGCCCGGATAAGGAGTGGGATGTTATTGTGGTGAATGATAGGAAGATGATCAATGCTATGGCTAGCCCTGGTGAGTCTGGCGTCCACAAAAATGGTTTGAAAGGTATTTACGACGAGGTTAGGTGTGATTGTTGTGTTTACTGGAATTCTTCCGGTTTGCCAGGACGAAGAAGGCCTCGCAGCTGTTGTTGCTCACGGTCAGTATCAATACCATTTCGATGACCAGTCTCTTACCTTCCCTCCCATTTTCTCTCCAGAAATCGGTCACGTCGGTGTGTAGTGCAACCTTCATGCCAACGTTGCTCTTCCTAATGCCTCCTCCTTCAGTTGCCCGCCACACAGCAGAACGTATCTCCTCGCAAACCATCGTCCTAGGTATCCTCGTCGTGCTCCAAGCACTAGGCTTAGACCTCGGCGTCTCCCAGATCGTCCAAAAGCTCCTCATGGAGCTCCCCAACTCACGCACGCAAGAACTCGAAGGTACGCATCCCCGCATTCTTGCTCATGCGCGAGTTAACGATGTTCTCGGGTGATAGCTGACCTCATCGGATTGCGCCTGATGAGTCGAGCTTGCTATAACCCTGAAGCCGCGCCGCAGTAAGTCTAATCTACCATCCCTGGTTCCTCTCATCGGTCGTCGTTGACCAATCTGTGCTCGTAGGATGTTCGCCCGCATGGGCCGCCTCGAAGCCAAAGCCGAGTCATCAGTCAACCTAGACTTCCTACAAACCCATCCATCGTCCGCCAACCGCGTCAAGGTTCGTCTCCCAGTACCAGACCTGACCATCTTTTTTAATCCAAGATGATTTTATTTGCGTGAATAGAAATTGAAGAAGGCCCTGCCGGAGGGATACTCCATTTTAGCTGCTAACCCTGAGTGTGCGGGGATGAGGGAGCAGATAGAGGCGTTCAAGGAGCGAGCGCATGAGGTTAAGTTCGATGATAGAGGTGGATTTGAGCTTGCGTGATGGAAGGTAGTAGAGGCACAGGCCTTGTTTTTTTCAGTGAAGATCGGGGGTAGGGGGTAAGGTAGGAGGTGGCAAGATTGTAACTAGAGTCAGATTGTGTTTCGTGTCGTCTTCTCGGTTTCTCGGTTTCTCGTCAATGTATCATCATCACTACTCATTATAGAATCTCTCGAATACTCTCGAACAATGACATTTCTTACGGTCCATTCTTCAAGCAAGAGGCCACCGCCTGATTTCAGCTTACGTTTTCATCTCGATACCTGCACTGGACTCCCTTCCGTCGCTCTACCGCATCGTCGGAGAAATACCACGTGCGCACAATGTTTGAAAAGACTTCCATTTTATCGCCTAAGAGTGAACGTCAAGCCGATGCTAGGTAGAGTTGTGGCGGTTGCATGATAACTTCTTCCATATTCTAGTGACGGCTTACCGTGCCGTCTCAGAATAATGATTACGATGACTCGACCTTCTGGTCAGCAACTCTCCTCCTCTGGTTTTATCTCTCACACATACAGCTTGGGACTCTTGTTTATTATACTTCAATCATCAATTCGAAGATTGCTATGTTTTGACAATGGCGACCTTGAAGGATTGATGCGCAGGGACGTTGGTTTCTTCATCGGCATTTCTGTGGTAATCTATGCACCCGTGACCTGAGGGTGGCGAGGCTCTAGTCGAACCGCTCGAAATGGGTATTCTACACTGCGGCGGCCCCAAACATCTACTCTACCATCGCCAATTGTTTTACCGAATTATGTCATGTGGGAAAGAAAGATACCGTGCTACATTGGACTCTTCTTAGCTCCGGCACAAAAGCCTTAATTTCATCTGGATCCATGAGTTTAGAATAGGGCTCGTCTCTCGTATGCCAGACGGCCGCTCGAACTCGAACGCTTGGGGGTCGAGGATAGCGTGCCGACGTTTTACATGGCGTTCACAAAATGCATGAATTGATACACCTTTCTCCCTACAAGTCATAAGAATAATTGTGCTCCATTACCGCTTCACAGATCATACTCCTGTTTTTGATCCACAAGTTCCGTCATAGCAACTGATTCAAGAGAATGGCAATAAATTAGGTTAAGTCCGGAATGGGCGTTAGAGGATTGGTTTGATTCCCGACTAAGAGCCGCTTCTCTGGGGCGGGGTGGGGGCGCATGCTCCGTAGTGCGGCAACTGCAAGCGAGACGAGACAGGAAAAATAAATCAAATGGAATAAAAAGGACATGAGGCCACAAGTGAGATCAAACTTGGTATATAAGGCTGGCAAGACGATGCAAAATCAGCAAGATGTCGTCGAGAGTCGAGGGTATTAAAATAACACATTGGCTTGAGACGACGTCCAAAGTCCCGTACACGACGACTCATGTTGGCGGCGTCCTAATCGTGAAATGCATCTTCGTTGTCACGACGCACAAGAGTGCTGCGACGAGAGGAGAGGATGTGGGCGACCAGCCCCACAGAGGTACGTCCAGCTACGTATAATATGGGGCAACATCGGATCTCCGATCATCGTTGGGGCAATGCGTAGCGGGAAAGACCATAGCGCGAAGGAACGAATAAGCCCACGGGCCAGGGTCCTCCCCGACTGTGTACAGGAAGTAAATAAAGGTAAGCGTCACTTATGAGAGAAAATGCTAACCACTGCAGACGAATGTGTTTCAGTGCAAGCCTATGTTCGAGGCTAAACCTGGGCGTAGCGCGTTTGCATTCTAACCTCCCATTGTCTGTCATTGTCAAATCCCAAATGCGGATGCCTCAACTCGTCCGGCGCGTAGCGCGTTCGCATTCGAACCTCCCATTGTTTGTCATTGTCAATTCCCAAATGTAGAACCCTCATCTCGTCCTGCGCGTAGCAAGTTCGCACTCGAGCTTCCCATTGTCTGTCATTGTCAGTTGCCAAATGCGGAACCCTCGTCTGGTCCTCCGCGTAGCGCGTTCGAATTCCAACGTCCCCATTGTCTGTCATTTTCAATTCCCAAATGTGGAAGCCTCGTCTCGTCCCACGTATTTGGTCAGGCCCAATCACCGCTACACAGCATCTATGGTCGACAAGCTTCAGTTCCTTGCCTTGGGTGCTCGGGCGTGACTTGCAGCACAGGCTATTCCGACCTCACTCTGTTTCTAGCACATCTTGACTTCGGAGAGACTGCGAATCGTGATCATCATTCATGCTTAGGCTGTCAACATCGGTCATGAGTAAATTATTGGCATTGAGCTTGGAATGGCTCACCGAGTCCTGCAAATTATTACATGGTGTGAATGAATGTTGTTATGTAGTGCCAATGAACCAAAGCACCAGATTTCATTGGCGTATAAAGACGTAAGTGCTGATTCATGAAACAAGCAAGTAGTTCTTGAGTGATATGGGCGCCTTGTGACATCTGTATCCAGTGGGCGTTAGTGGTTGAGCATAGCAGAGGATCAGAGAGGATCAAGCCTATCTGAAGCCTGTCTGGATTTGGTTGTCTCATCACCGCATATGGTATGTCAAGTTGCCAACACTTTTCAACCCTTCACAGAAATCACATTGATCGCAATGTGGCCTAAGCTGACAATGCGTTGCCACGTCACGCGCGTCAAGTTACCTTCCCAATTTCCCAATACTGGCAGCTTTCTTCAAGGGTCTCTGGATAGTGGCTATAGGGTTCCTCAGTTATCTGTGTCATCATCTGGGCTCCAGGGCAATATGGGGCCTGTATGTCCAATCTGGTCTTGTTCTCGCATGGACCACCTTCTCCGACAATGGCAATCTTGCACTGGAATCTCGTCTTTTGAAAGTCTATGGGTGAAGCATGGCAGGACGTATTCGAGGATCCAAGCATCAAGATGTGAACCGACCGACATGAAGTGCATCCTCTTGGTTAGGATCCAGTCCGCCCGGCCTCACCGGGGACGTCAATAATATTGCATTCTGGTCCGGAGGACATATCTCGGCAATTCAGT